GCGGGCTGCCGTGGGACCCTCTGTTCAATGAGCCAGAGCAAGCCCAGAGCTGGCAGGGAGCAGGGCCTGCACCCCAGCCCAGAGTTCGGCGCTCTGCCTGGGAGCCAGGAGCACTGTGCAGGCTCCAGGGGCTGGCAGCCTTGCTGGCCAGCTTGACACAACCTTGCACCCAGGCTCCCTGGGGAGCAGCCCAGTTGCAAGGACCACGCAACCCCACGTCACAACCCAGGGCTCCTGCTGGAGGTACGTGCGACAGCCTGGGAAGTCCCCATCCTCCTTCCTAAGCCCAGGTCCTCACTGAGGTGGCACCATCCTGGCAGCCCTCCAGCTCAGCTTGCACAGCAAGGGGTCTCCAAGGGAGCTGGAGGAACTGCAGCTGAGCAGGTGCTGGATGGTTTTTGGTCCAAGCACTATGGGGAAGAAGGGGGAGAGCTGCAGTTATGGGGGAAAACCCATTGCTACAGTTGCGGACACCCAGGCTGGGTACAGGGCTACCACTGGGAAGGGGAGAGGGCCAGGACACTTTGCTGTGGTTCTCAGATTTCTGGTGCTTGTCTAGAAGAAGCAGGGAGCCCCAAACAAGGTCTCCCTTTATCCACCCCAAGAAACCCCATGTTTATTACTGCTTGTCCTGCTGCAGAGCTGCTGCTTCTCCTCATCCCAACCTCCCCAACAGGCCAGGCACCCCACACAACACTATCACCCTGCAGATTAAGCAGACTCTGATTTCACTGCAACCACTGAGCCAGGCATGGGAGCTAGCCAACCACATCCTCCCAGCCATGTCCTCTCCAATGCTGTGGGCAAGGGTGTGCCTAGCAGGGCCATTTCCCATCCCAACCTGGGCCTTGGAGAGGGGGAACAGAGCTAGCCCAGGCCCTCCCAACTCCAGCCAGCCACACCAGCACGCTGGCAGAGCACTGGTGCCAGCAGCTGCTCAGGGAAACCCTGCCACCCCTTTGGCTGGCTCCCATGCAGAGTACAAAGTACAGTAGGAGTGGTTGTGGGCACCAGCCAAACTTCAGCACTCAGCTGCTTCGAGAGGCTGTTGCTGCCAAGACTGGAGTTTGGCAGAGCAGTGGCCCAGGACTGGCCACAAATCTACACCAGTGATGATATTTGGAGGGGTTGGAGGAAAAATGCCACCCTGTTCCCCAGCTCAGATTGGGACTGCAGCAGTGGCAGCAGTAGTTATTGTGCAACACACCTGTGCAGGGCACAGGTCCCAAACAGCCGGACTAGGCATATAGCAGAGCCTGCTCAGGTTCTGCTCCAGCTCCAAAGGGGAGAGCTGCACAGCAGGACCTGGGTGTCCGTAAGGAGCCCTCCTTCAGCTTCTACCAAACAACCCCCACCACACACCCCTGGTCCTAGTGTGAGCGGCACAGGCAGCTTGAAGGGGTGACAAACCCATTGCTACAGTCACTGACATAGCAGCATGCGCTTGTAGCCCCTCAGGGACTTTTGTGCCCCAGAGGTGCTAGCACAGGACAAAAAGGGCCAAAGGCAGGGTAAGAGCCTCTTGCCCTTGCAGAGCCAAGCCAGCCCAGGCTGTGTGCCACTGGGCAGGTCAGTAGGAGCTGATGCCCAGCCCCACTGTCCCCTGACGCCACAGGAGGGAGGGCAGAGCTCCTGGGTCAGCATAGGGAACAGGGTGACCCCAAAACAGCAAGAGCAGCATAGCCTGCCCCAGATCCCCCCACTCCCAGACTCACACCCCACATCTCCCCTGTGCAGTCAGCCCTGGGCTCCCTGTCCCCACTCTCTGGAATGTGGGAACAGCACGGGCAGCTCCTTTCC